CCACTGCTCTTACAACTACCACTACGACTGCGACTACGACGGCGACCGCGACGACGACGATGACGACGACTACTTCTTCTACTACTACTACTACTCCTCCTCCTCCTCCTCCTACTACTACTACTACAACGACGACGACTACTACCACCACCACTACCACTGCGCCTACGACGACTACGACTATCACAACGACGACCACTACTACTACTACTACTACTACTACTACTACTACCACAACTACCACAACTACCACAAATACAACTACAACTACAACTACTACTACTACTGCTGCTGCTACTACTACTACTACTACTACTACTACTACTACTCGACTTATACCGAGTCACTAAGGGCACGACCGCCACAATCAGCAACAACAAGAGCCAACGAGACAAAAACATATGTAAGTTATGGTAACCACAATCGGAATGAGGCTGGGACCCTCCACTTCTTCCCCCTTGCTTTAGTGTCCGCATACTTTAGTTGCGGGGATGCCTGCCCTGACGGCAGTGGGACACAGAGTTGAGGGTTCAAGAATTTGAGCTCAAGGTCCTGTGAATTGAGGGTGAACTCATGACGACAGGGATGGGGCAATAATGAAAATCAAAAATTTCCGCGATGCTCAGCACAGATGAATCTCGCAGAAGCCACCGGAGTCTCAGGACCCAGTGGCCAGCTCGTCCGTCCACAAAAGCTTTGCAATTGTGGGGTAGCCGTTGCGACGGCCTATTTCAGCGGGTGTGGTGCCATCAGACGCAGCCTGGGTTTTGACAGCGCCGGCTTCAACTAGCAAGCGTGCAATCTCCAGGTGGCCTTGACGACAAGCTACCCACAAAGGTGTGGCATGCAGAGGTCCACAAACTTTGCTTTTGTCGGCACCGCCTAGCAGCAGCATCTGTACAATTTCAGCTTGGCCTTCACGCGAAGCTAGCCAAATTGGAGTCATACCTTCTGGCCTGCCGACCTTGTCCTTGTCAGCTTTTGCCTCCAACAAGAGGCGTACAATGGCCCTATGACCCCCACGGGATGCCATGCCCAGAGATGTCGTATCAGATACAGCTTTGTCTTTGTCTGCACCTGCCTCTAATAACAACCGTGCCACCTCCAGGTGGCCGTTGTTGCATGCCATGTGCAAAGGTGTGGTGCCACCAAGCGCAGCCTTGTCGGGATCAGCGTCAGCTTGCAAGAGCAGCTGGGCGATCTCTATGTGACCTTCGTGAGCGGCTACACCAAGAGGAGTTATGCGGCGAAGTACCGTTCCATTCGCCCTGACTGTCGCAGCCCTGTTCCGATCTGCTCCGGCCTCCAAGAGCAAGCCAACAACTTCTGCAAAGTCATTTGCGCAGGCCCCTAGAAGCGGGGTTTTGCCTTGGTGATCAAAGCCGTCCGGATCTTGAGGTTGTTGAAGAATCCGCTCAACACAGGCCACATCACCATGGCAAGTCGCGCGCCACAAATCTCTTGAGCCCTGACCGGGTTTTACGTAGCGACAAGGGAGCAGTACGAGAAGGAGATCCAACGCCGAGTCAAGCAGGACCTCATCCTCCAAAGTCGCATGCTCGTGTAGGAGCCTCTGCCTAAATCGTGGGAAGCCACAAAGGCCCTGTAAATGCCTCTTGAGATCCAGCACATTGGTCAAACTTTCCACCGGAATTGTGGCGAGCTCTTGTCCAGAGACTAAGCGAACGCGAAGACTCCCTGCCATGGAGGACGCGGGCCGCTACATGGACTCGGAGGCCGTATGGGGCTCACGATATGGGGATTCCGAGAACTTGGACCAGATTTGGTCTACATGGTTCAGTTCCAAGAGTGCACGGGCAGAATGAAAATTAGCACATGCTGGAAACTCAGCACAGTCCAGGCTTTGCCTATCCATTGACCTCCTGTGAGCACACGCAAGCATCCAGTGTCTGCGCGACGAGAACTGGAGTCTGGAGGACGCACTTATTTCCCGACGAACATCAAAATGAGCAGATGAAAAGTGAGGTGCTGGTGGTGATGACGACGTAGCTGCTGCCTGGATGATTGTCGTGGTTGCACTGTTTAGACACGAGTGTGTCACGTGGAAAGTGCCTTGGAAACTAATGCCAGCGTCACCCGCTCTAGCTTGCTGCAGTCACAGAGAAGTTAGGGGCAGAATCGTGGGCTCTTCTTAGGATCTGTCGTGTTGGGGAGCTTGGCTCTCAGCTCCGTCGTGCCTGTGCCTCCAAGCTTTTAACTTTGGGCTTCCTGCTCTGAGACTGGGGCTTGTCACGACCTCCTGGTATGGCAGGTTACGCCAGGAGGTGCAAAGCATATGCCTTATGCTACCAAATCCGGCCTCCTCGTGGCGGGTGAAGGCGCAGGAACGCACCATGCGGTGCAAGTTGCCGGACCTTGTGTTCCAACCCACAAGCCAAGAAACCTATACCAATAAACAGCAATGAGTGCTTGCTCATTAGCCGTATCTGGAAAAGTTTTCGTACTGCTTAAGTATACAATATGGTACGTCAAAATCAATCTATGCGCCTGTATGGTACGCCAGTATGGTACGCTCTAAATTACAGACACAAAGGAGAAAGCTTGCAAACTCAACCGTTGAGGGACTGCTTGTTCTCTTTGCACTTTGCCGAAGGGCACTCCTGGAAAAGATCACGTTATTTAGGTGGAGTTGGGGTATGGCTTCTGCAACTGGCACCCGTAAAGGAACTTCAATACTGTAAGAACTTTAATAAGGCTACTAGGAACCTTGGATCGGAAACCCAGAAACAAACAGGATTGGACCTGTTCTGCGGTTTCTCTGAGCGGGTCCCTAAACTAAACTGTACTCCGAACCCTAGCAGCACCCCCTGGACATCCCTCGACCCTACCTGACCTACATTCTCCCTTCTCCTTCGGAGGCGTGTAGGTGTCTGCCTCGACGGACTGGAAGACTTCACAGCCGCAAGTCTCACAGTGGTAGGTGACGATCTGCACCTTGGGCTTCACCTGCGGCGTACGGGGAACGGATTTTGGCTTGAGGGCTTTCTTGGTTGATGTAGGACCCGGGAAAAATGTTACTCGGTACTCCCTAGAGCCCTAACTCTAGACTCTGGACCCCAAATTGAAGTCATACTTGTTGAAGCCATAATTTTTACATCCGAAGGCCCCAACACCACGGCCGAAAGCGGTACATTCTATGCGATCCATGGTCCATCATTGGTTGTGGAGGAGAAACCTCAAATCGAGACCTTATTCTTGCCTAAACCTCACGCCCAAGCCCCGCGATTCCAAACCTCCAAACAAAGCTCAAAATCCAGCCTGCTGTACGCTGACCACCAGGCAGTCCAGCTGCACCAACTGTCCCACAGAGTCGCCCCGGATCTGACGCCTCATGTTTAGGGCACTTGCATTGGGGGCTTCTTAAGACTCTGCACTGTTGCGAGCGGGGCTTATAGGACTTGGGTTCTCAGGGGACGAGAAAAAACGCAATGGCCGGAGTCCCAGGCCGCGACGGACAAACTTGCACTACGACAATACCAAACAGAGCAAAGAGAATACATCGTTCCAACCTCGGCACATGCTCATGGAAGAGGCGGAGCTGCGCGGCTTGAAGCGAACGCCCCATGGGTTCTTCAGCTTTGCAGGCACTCCCATGGCCTTGTCGAGACCCCCAGCGGCGTCCTGTCGAGTCTCTGGAAACTGGGGAACTCGGTGCCGCTTACTCAAATCCCAGTAAGCTCCGACCGGAACATCCCCGAAGATCCCGAAAGCCTGACCCCTAAGGCGAGATCACTTCGGGCTCCTTCGCATTCAAGCGCTCGCGCCAGTCTTGGACGGCGTTCCTGACTCTCGTGGCCGATGCCTCGTCGGTGTAGTTCTCGTCTCGGGCCGGCTGCTCGGTGTCGCAGATTTCGTAGAAGAAGCCCCTGCTGGACGTCTTTATGTACCGTAGACCAACAAAGAGGAACATGAACAAAGAGATACTATACACAAGACTCTCACACAGGTGCCTTTGTTCTAGTTCTCTGGGGGACTATGTATATGTTTAGTCGTTCATGTTGCGACACAGCATGCTCGCACCAAGGAACTGAAGGCTCGAAGACCGGGCTGCAATCAAGGAATACCGGGATTGAAAGTAAAAGCTGTGGGAACCCGCGGATGCGCCCAGAAACTGAAAGGAAGGCGGTCTGTGGCCTGCGAGGATTTCGGTTGGAAGGCTCTGTGACTCGACAGTATCACTGTGCTCTATCGTGGTTTCGGGATGTTAAGCACTCGGTGGCCGTCGTGGAGTCCGATGTCGGCTGATATGTGCCCGTTATCGCCGTCCCGGAAGCGGTCAGTACTGTGCCAGGCTTTACAACAACATTCAGATGAGAAACATCTGAAATGCTGGCATGTTAATGCAACCAATTGTGCGGATAACTAACCGTAGCATGCTACAGAAGTTGTAGATACGCCGGGGTATGCAGGGTCCATGGGCTGTCTGGCTAGTGCATAGGTACAGAAGTCTGTGTGCATGTTAAAGATCATGGTTCCGCGGCATTGGGCTTGCCATGGTTGAGGTGCTGAAACGTTCCAGACTTCTACCCCAAACGCGCTTTGTCTTGAAGCATGGGCGGCGTGAGACCCCCAAACCAGCCCAAACCTGTACACCCTCAACGTACTGCAAGTCGAAATTCCAGACCCGTGCGCACCTATAAAAACCGGGCCCAGTGGCTGGTAGCGTGGCACATGGAGCTCGATAGCCCCCACGAGCTGCTCGATGGACTGAAGAAGCTGCGCGCGCCTGAAGGCAGTCTAGCAAGCTAGGGTTTTTAAGCTTGAAGAACCCTAAAGCCTGGGCCCTAAAGAGGTTCTGGGCTCCCGGATGGCTGGCTTGGGACTAGCTCCGCAGGCTTTGGGATTCAAACTGAAGCTGAACCATGCTTTGGCGGAGCAGTGTTTCGGGCTTTGGGGGTGCGACTCTGGTGTTCACGGCATTTCACGGCACTGAGGCTGAAGTGGTTTAGTTCGCAGGGTGGGCTGCGGCTTCAGGGTTTGGGGGTTCAAATAGCTACTCAAGTTCCAACTACATCCTTACATGTCAACGCCACAACTACATCCTTCACTGGAAGTCCCATCGTGGAAAAGGGGTATATCCGTCCTGTTGCTCATGAAGGTCGAGAACAGGTCAAATGGCCCCGATAACACTTAGAGCTTCGTGTTTCTCAGCGTAAGGCTCGCACGAATCGCCCATGTCTGAATCTGGTGCCAGCGCCTCCTGTTCTGAATCTTTCGGGCTGCGTGAGGCGGCTTACTGCAGCTTTGCTTCTTTGCGGGCCGAGTAGCTGCGGTATACGTTTCTAAATCGGTTTGGTCAAGACTTGACGGTGAGACTGGAGATATGCCAAGCAAGGGAAGGTTACGGCTAGCAGCCTGCACAGACCTAGCTCTGTAGCTGCACTCACGCTTCAGTTTGCGATGTTTGAGGCTCCAAGAGCACCCCCTAACCCACGAAGGCCACGAGGATGCTGGGATCCTTCTTGCAGAACGTCTCCACATCATCCAGCTCAATGGTAATCATGTCCACTTGGTTGTTCACTGCCTTCTGCAACAAAGCCATGTACCTGAGTAAGCTCTGGCTGCCGTGTAGCAACATCTGGGGAAGTGTCATCGACAGTGGCATGGTCATACATGGTCTACATATAGTCACATAGTCAATGCAGACGGGCCTATTGTTCACTTCATGATCATCCCCACCAGACATCATCAACAACAACAGCGCGCTCATCATCAGTACATTCCGCATCAACTAACATCAGCATCACCAAGAGCGCATCATCTCCATGACATCACCAACACCATCACCGTTGTCGACATCACCACCACCAGCAGTACCACCGTCAAGAGACTTTCATCATGACCTGCAGACAACACTGCTGCCAAGAGATCAACAAAGTCTTCACAGCAGTAAGTAGATGACAAATAGCAAACTGCCTCATGGGGCAATTCATAGGCATACTCTGGCAACAGCAAAACCAATGCCGATGGAATCGGAATGGCCAATTAGGGGCATCGAGTGGCAGGAGAAAATCGAGTTTAGGACTTATGGGAACCGGAAAACAAGCAGGGAAACAGCAGGATGATAGCAACACTATACTACACAGTAACTGTCGAGCGTGCCGTTGCCCTGAAACCCATGAGGCCCAGGAGCTTGAGCTTGCCGTACTTGCCGTCGTTGCACATCTCGCACTCGTAGGTACGGATGAACTTCTTGATCAGATCCTTTCGGCACTGGCTCTATGGCACCGGGACCTTCAGTAGGCTCAGGCGTGCAGGGACCCGGAACCGTCACGTGATACTTTGGGCGCCCATGCCGCCGATGTGCCCATACTGTTGGCACCATAATATCACTACAATCACTACAACGACTAACACGACTGCGGCTGATACTACCCCCCACTACCAACTACCACTGCGGCTACTACGACTACCACCATGACCACGACCGCGACCACGACTACCACTACTACCACCACCGCTACCACTATGGCCACGTACCACCACTACGACGACTACTACTACCACTACCACCGCCACCGCCACCACCACCACCACCGCTACTACGGCTACTGCTGCTGTTGCTGCTGTTGCCGCTCCTACTACTGCTAGTGCCAGAGCTAGCGGCGGCGACGACAGGTAGGGCGAAGCCGATACAGTGAGGGCAAACCCACAGACGATGCCTGAACCCGGCATCAAACACTCAAACGTGCGGAGCAGGAGATTGGTCCTTGTGATCGTGCGCCCGAGTGGCCATGTCACGGACCTTTCGACGATGTTTTGGAGAAATCTGCTCTGAGAACCATTAGTCTTCCAGCGCAGTCTATACATCTATATATCTATATATCTATATCTATATCTATATCTATATCTATATATATATATATATATACTGAGGCGGGGCCCTTCAGTGCATGCTAGGATTTGTTTCTGTTTTCCATGGTTGCCGTGGATTCTGGCGTGGAATTTTGCCGCTTGGTGGTTTGTGTTGTTCCTCACTTTTCCATGCTTTGTTGAATTTACAGCATTTTTTCCAGCTCGGAGAAGTCAACAATCAATTTCCGTGGCATGAGTTTTGCAGTTTGCCGCGTTGCTGTTTTTTTATATGTTGTGATTCAAATTTCACATGTCCCTGGTACGGTTCTAATTTTTTTTGCTATTCGTGCAATGATTCGCAACGCCAGCTGGGGACTTGCTAAGTCCATAGCAACCAAGTCTCTTGCGCTTCACCCGCGCTTACTGAATACTTCACAAACCAGCTTATAACCATCTTGCTTAAATATAAGCCTGATATAAGCAGACGAGCACGTACATTCGATATACAAACCAACGCGTGGCATATGAGTATACTTGCATGACTTCTAACTCCAGATTCAGCACATGTGAGTAGACTTCTAAATGCCATCACCAAAAAGCCGGTCATAGGCGGCAGGAGGGAGTGAGAGCAGTGAAAGGGCGGGATGGCAGCAGCATCTCGTGGCATCAGAAACAGCAGAGGGGTCATCACCGATCCCACCGATAACATCAACTTCACGCTGAGGCACGGTTTCAGCATCACTGACCTCATCATCTCCATCACCCTTGACAACCTCAGGCCTCGAAGAAATGATTCCCACTCCAAGCTGTCACGGAAATGTGCTGCGACCTTCAAACTCCTACAAAGGACACCTGCGAAAGGTCCTGCAGGAAATCCCTGAAGGTTCTCATAAAAGTGAAAACTTCTCCAACTGTGATAGCAGCGAAGAAACAGCAAGGAAGCGACACGTCGATGCAAGACTCGCGTGATTTGCCGAAGGGCTCAGGGAGTAAATCATCCGATTCCTTTGTTCAGGTTCAACTCGCAATCTCTACCAATTATATTGCATCTCTCGGGTTTCCGGCAAAAGCGCCTTTGTATGCCACATGCAAAGAACCCTCGCCCGGTGCACTGGCAACTGGAACCCGAGTACGGCTCCAATCTTGGGATGAGGACGTGCCTCCTGGTCTTTTTTCACGACAGCATTGACTCATTGACATGCGGCACTACTGAAGGGCAAACGCCGGGACCGAGATCCAAAAGTCCCGGCTGCCGGGACGGCGGGAGGGCCGGTTGTTGGCCGGGGGTGCGCACAAAGGCTCCTGCAGCATTTGTGGTGGGAACTGGTGCTGCCTTTTCCCGAAGAAGCTGCTCCACCTCTCTCGGAGAGTCCAGAAGCCCTTTCATCAGATTTCGCAAGTAGGGGTTCCTGTCCGCCAAGTTCTGAATGTCATGCTGGGCTTCCTCCACATTGCCCTGCCCCTCAAAGAACTGCAGGACGAGGTGCCTGTACTTGTCACGGGTTGGCTTCCGCGGTCTCTTTGCCGCCTTTGGCTTGTCCAGGTGTTGCTCATGGCAGTAGTTGCAGCTGTCTCCTCTGAAACAACCACGCTGCGTGGCGAACAAAACGCAAGGATTGCAATCGTTACTCGAATGTCGAGCTGGCAGTCTGGATGGTACTGATTCTGCAGACAACGCAGATGGGTCACTCACTCGCGAAATCTCCAGATCTGACAATGTCGCCCTGACGGTGTAGCGAAGCTGGCTGAACCAAGAAGACGAGGAATATGATGAGACACTGCCGGATCCATCATCATGTGACTCGGTGCCGCGAACATTACATGACCACCATGGCAGCCATGGCAGACCCTTTCTGCGGACCTTATTAGCTCTAGGAAGAAGCCTTGGACGACGACTGTTAACTTTTCTTTGACCTTCGGGAGTTTGGGTAGATGCACATGGAGCAAGCAACCAGCAGCGATCCCGTGATGTCCTGTGCTAGTGACTGGGCATGTGAACCGCACTTGGCGACGCCTCTGCCGTGTGGCTAACATCCACAGGACTCTTCAGCCAGTTGACCACTTGTGCTGCAGCCATTACTTTAGTGAAAACGGTTGCTACGATTTTGGGAACAGATGTCTCGTGCTTCATGTACGAGTAATCGTGGTACTGACAGTGGAACCCGTAAGTTAGCAATCTTATCAGTAGGGGCAGCAACGGTACGTGAGCATTCATACCCAGGTCTTACAGCGCACGCAGTAAGTATCAATACTCTGAATTATCTCCGGCGGCTGATCACCAACAACTTCATCTCATATCTGGCCAGTTAAACATAGGCCAAAATCGAAGGGATTCCGTGGAAAGCTAAGAGACCCCACAACAAGTCCCTAAACCATGAAACGAAGCCGAGCATTCCCGATTTTCTGATGAATTGCGCAAGCCAATATATAAGGTCTGCACACGTCAATGTACCCTTCATACCAAAGGGAATCTTAGTGTGTTTCTTAGTAGGGCATAGAAATAAACGAATCCTACGACAACACATGCAGAATCAGGCGGCCCCTCGGACCCCATAACCTAGGCGCCAACCTTCCGAACCACCCTAATGCTTCAAGCCCCAAAGCTCTGAAACCTGTCTGGCCTTGCTCAGTTTCCACTTGTTCAGATCCTGCTTCAAAGCCATGGTTGAGCCTGGTTGGTTTCCAAGAAACGGCGTAGGTTTAGGGCTTAAGGTCTCGATCAGGGTGAATCTATGACTTGAGTTGGGTTTTGGCCGCAGCTGCGGAGCAGCTACTGAACAAGTGCACTCATTTTGTGCTCCACTGAGATTAATGTCGGTGTCTCAACACTCGATGGAATAATGAGCTTTGCAACTGAGACGCTAAACAGTCTCAAAGGTGTTGAGCTCACAACACTCAGAACAGCATTGTCCGAAGGCCTGCCTTATTGCGCACAGCATACAAACACAGTGCTTTGAGGTTCCGCGCTTGTGGCTCTGTGGCTCTCAACACTTTTCACGTCCTTATTCCACATGCTTTGCTTCCGGTGTGTAAGGCTTTAGAGGTCGGACGGGTCCAGGCGAAGATGCTTACTTCCGGGTTTCGTCTGAGTAACGATCGCTGGGAGACTTGGCAACTGCTCCAACGGCAGCTTTGACGCGACAAGGCCTGGTTGGCCCCAAACCCTACTCACTGGGCTCCGAGCGAAAGGTAGCAAATGAAAATCTGAGACGCGATTGCCCTGCTTGAGCCCTGAATGCCAGTCTGCAGCGGTCATATTCTCGTGCTGTCTTATGATGTCTCCTGACTTATGGTTTCTTTTCTAGGGCCATTTACGGTTGGCGCATGCCAGCTCGAGTTTTCACCCTCATAGCCACAAATGACAAAACCTACATACGCCCGCAATGAACCTAAACACATCTAGCCAGCTTTTCCGGTTGATCCATAAAGTCGTTGGTGCGAGGGAGCCTGATCCGTGCTCCTGTCTCGCTCTCTCTCTCTCTCTCTGCAGATGCTCTGCTTCTTTGATGAGTACGGATATCAACCTTAGACAGAACCTACGTATGACATATGCAAAAGCTCGTTGTCCAGCAAAAATGTAAAGCTCCTAGGACTACGTAAAACACGAATCTACGTGTGCGCTATAGAACCCGCGCATCATTCAACATAATAACTTCCCTTGGGGAATCACGATACGACGCCTACCCAGCGGTTGCCAAGGAACTTCACCCCAAACCACCCTGTCAAACTCCAAACCCCAACCTGTCAACGTATGAGCCTGTAGAACCTTAGCATTCTTTAGCCAAGAAGGCTAAACAGGAAACAGCCACAAATTCTTCAACCAGAACTCCTCGCGCATCGCACCATATAATGTTTGCAAAGCCCTACGGCCCACCCCGGGCCCTGAATCCCGAAGTCCGATCCGCTTCTTCCAAAGAACCCCTGCATGCCCACGACGTAAATTTCTAAACTCAAGCCCGACACCCGCAAACCACTCAACCGAAACACCGAAACCTAAATGCTACACCCTCTGCACCAACCTCTGGGAAGCCCCTCGGCCCCTCTACACCTTGCAAAAGACACTGAAGACCCGAAGAAGGTTCCCTAAAACGCCTCCGTCAAACATACCCTGAAGGCTTATCCCCGGCCTGGCCCTGCGCTGCCTATCTTCAGCGCTTCGGAGGCTTGCGGTAGCGTGGAGAGCAGCATGGGCACCTCGGCCGGTCTGTTTTTTGGGGCTTCGTTTAGCAAGATACATGAGGTGGAGAACAGAGAAAAGATCGGAATAAGAAGGTAAAAACTTCTGGTTCTCGAGCTTGGCCTCGTCCAGCGGCGGGTTTATGCAGTTGATGAACCACTCATGCAAAAGGACGGCACTAACAAATGTTACTCCAAGCGACCTGCAGTGCTGTGGAGTCAAACAGCCTTTCTTTCTGCTCCGTCGTAAGATCGGTTGGCTGCATTGTAACATCATTTGCAAATCCTTCAGCTCAGATCGAGTGATCTTGCCCGGGGAGGTCTTTGAGGCTTGAGCTCGAAGGGCTTCAACCTTTGTACCTCTATTTCCTAGGCAGTGCTTTGCGCCTTCCCACAAACCAATGATCGCCACACCTAGGACAATCACCGCAAGGTAGAGGTCCCAAGGGATTTCCTTCTCCAGGTCTTGTTTTTCAGGAGCAGATCCACGAAGTTGACATAAGAGCACAAGACGTCGAACCCATGAAGCTTGGACTCCTTGCGTTCTCGCTGTCTTCATCTCCACGGTCTGTCTCCGATCTCGTAGATTACACATAGAAACCAGTTGTCGAACACGTTCCCGGGTAAAAGCTTTTGTCCCCAAGTCAGCATGTTGAAATTCTCCCGGAATGAACTTGATGTGGCGCTCCTTCTGTATCGACATCTTTCTCACCCGATTGCTCCTCAACCTTAAGTGTCGTGTCCGCCAGCTTCCCGAAGAGGTGG